CATTTTTTGGGCAATTGCAAATAGTATTGGAATTTTAATTTGGATGTCCACTTGTTAATTAAAAGCACATAGAAATACCATTGATTTTTGCAAGTTTACCTTACATCTTTTTTTTTAAAAGACTTTATTTATTTATTTGACAGAGAGATACACAGTGAGAGAGGGAACACAAGAGGGGGAGTGGGAGAGGGAGAGGCAGGCTTCCCGTGGAGCGGGGAGCCCGATGCGGGGCTCGATCCCAGGACCCTGGGATCATGACCTGAGCCGAAGGCAGACACTTAACAACTGAGCCACCCAGGTGCCCCAAGTTTACCTTATATCTTGTGAATATGCTAAACTTACACACTGTAGGTATATTTTTATGCATTCCTTCATATTTTCTACTAAGACCACCAGGTCATATGCAAATATGGTCAGCTTTATTTATTCTTTTCTGATGTATATGTTTTTTTAATTTTATTTTTCTTATCTTTATAATTTTCTTCTTTCTGCCTGCATTGGGTTCATTTTGCTATTTTCTGGGTTCTTGAGGTGGGGACTGAAATTACTGATTTGAGACTTTTCTTCTTTTTTAATATATATAGTTAGTGCTCTGCTGTCTCACAAATTTTGATGTATGGTGTTTTCAACATATTTTATTATTTCTCAATGTTCTTAGATTTTTCTCTAGCAAAAAAGATTATTTAGAAATGTGTTATTTGGTTTCCAAGTGTTTGGAATTTTTTCTCTTATCCATCTGTTATTGTTTTCTGGTTTGATTTCATTGTAGTTGGTGAACAATTTGCACAATATTAATTCTTTTAAATTTGTTGAGGATGGCCATGGATATGGTGTATGTTGGAAAATCTGTGGCACTAGAAAAGAATGTGTTTTCTGCTTTTGCTAGAGAGAGAGTTCTGTAAAAGTTATATTGGTGTGCTGAAACTTTCTAATTTTTGTTTGTTTCAAGTGTGCTTGTTATAGTTCACTGAAGCATTCTTATGATGGCTTTTTTAGAATGTTTGTCAGATAATTTTACTATCTCTGTTGTCTCAGTTGTCTTTTTCTTTAGGTTAAGATCTTCCTGGCTCTTAGTATGACAAGTGATTTTTTTTGAAAGCTGGAAAGTTTGGGTATTATGTTCTGAGACTCTAGACCTTTTGTTCTAGCTAGCTTCTGACATTGTCCAGCAGGAGAAAGGATGGTGCTGTCTTCTTACTGCATGTGAGAGTAGAAGTCTAGCTTCTCCACTCCAGTTCTGTTGACACTTGATACAGATATTCTCCTTACTGTTTAGCAAGGGTGGGAGCTCTGGGTTCCAATGAGGCCTCCACTGATACCTCCTAGGCTGTAAGAGAGAGGGGTGCATTTGGCTTTCTGGGATACCAGCCTCTTCAGCTCTGAGTCTGTGATACATTAGTTGAAAAGAAAACCAAAGGAATTCACCACTGTGTCCTTCTTTGGGTCTGAACAACCCTCTTCTTTCAACCTTTCTGAGTCATATATTTGTTTTACATATAATATCCAGAGTGTCTACTTGTATTTAGTGAGACAAATTTGGTAAAACATGTCTATTCTAACTTCCTGGAAACAGAAACTTTTTTTTTTTTAAAGATTTTATTTATTTATTTGACAGAGAGAGAGAGACAGCGAAGAGGGAACACAAGCAGGGGGAGTGGGAGAGGGAGAAGCAGGCTTCCTGCGGAGCAGGGAGCCCGATGCAGGGCTCGATGCGGGACTCGATCCAGGACCTGGGATCATGACCTGAGCCGAAGGCAGACACTTAACGACTGAGCCACCCAGGCGCCCAATGGAAACAGAAACTTTTCTCTCAATGTAGTTTTAATTTGCCTTTCCCTTGTAATATTTAAGGGCCTTTATTATATCTTTTTTGTGAACTTTTTGCCTACTTTGATAACTAGGATTTTGTCTTGTTATCTTCTTGGTTTATGTCTCTTGCCCACTTTTAGAACTGGGCTTTTGTATTTTCCTCAACTTGTAAGGATTCATTACATATAAAGGATCTTGACCCATTATGTCTGATATATATTAAAATATTTTCTTCCAGTTTTTTATATGTTTATTGAATTTGGTAGTTATGTGAGGCAAACTTATTTTTAAAAATTCTTATGTAGTCAAATGTATTAATCTTTCATTTCATCTGGATTATGAATTGTATATGTTTTCTATTGCTGCTGTAACAAATTACCGTAATACAAATTTACTACCTTACGGTTCTGTATGTCAGGGATCAGACATAGATACTCTTATCTATGAGTAAAATCAAGGGGTCAACAGGACAGCATTACTTTCTGGAGGCTCTATTCCATTCCCAGCTTCTACAGGTTGCTCATATTCCTTGGTAATGGTCTCTTCCTCCATCTGCATAGCCAGAATGTCAGGTAAAATTCCTGTCACACTTTCTTCTTCCATTATTATCTCTGTCTGATCTAACTGGGAAAGGTTCTCTGCTTTTAAGAATTTATGTGATTATGTTGAGCTTACCCAGATAATCCAGGAAAATCTCTCCACCTCAAAGTCCTCTCCCTAATCACATCTGCAAATTCCCTTTTGCCATGTGAGGTAACATATTCAAAAATTTCAGGAATTAAGGGTGGATATTCTTGGAGGCCATTCTTTGCCTAACATGTGACTCATAGCTAAAAAGCCCTTTTCTACATCCAGGTTATAGAGGAATTCACCCTTTTTTCTCTAATTCTTGTATTAATTTCCTATTGTGACTATAAAAAATTTAGTGACTTAAAACAATACACATTTATTCTCCTACAGTTTTTGAGGTTCAACATTCAGAATGAGTGTTATTGGGCTAACCAAGATAATTATTAAGTTTATTCCTGATGATTTTACTTTTTTGCATTTGCATTTGCCACTTGCGCGGTTATCTCCTGGAATGAAAAAGGCTTACATTACAGGAAATAAGTTCCAATGACATGAATGTTTCAGAGAAGACAATAATAAACCAAGATGCTTGATTTAAAACTGAACTTTGTTTTTTAAAAATATTAGAAAGAATTTTTGTATCAATTTGAAAATTATCCCAAACATGTTTTAAGCAAAATTAAATTAGCAAATTTAAACAATTGTGAAATAAACACAAAAAAGTATTACATGTCTAGAAATTTCAACTTAATGTAAAACACCTTTTTGCTATGTACATATAAGATACAAATGTACATTAAATTACTTACATTAAAAATTCATTGCTACTTATTAGTTACATTGCCTATTTAATCTCTAAATAAATTATCTAAATGTGTGTAATTTCATTAAAAATAATCCTCCAAAATAATAGGCATTACATTATCCCATTTTCTAAAAGCATATTGTACTTAGTTACTGAAAACCTTCTGTAAGAAATTTTGGTTAGGACTGTAATATTTATATACACTCTCAGATGTCTAAATTAAGTCAGGTATTATGAATTCAAACAACAGATATATTCAAGGGGCAAATTAGTTAATTAATTAAATTCTTCCTCTGGGCCTGTATCAATCAATCAATAATGTTTCAGTGTTGTCAAGGTAGAAGTATAGAAAATAATTTACTTAAAAGTTTGTCAACTTGATTTATAACTTTAAATATTTAAACTTATGGTATGTGGGCCTCCATTTATACCCCTGTCCTGGCCTTGTAAATGACAAATGATAAGATATAATGAAAGCAACCTTAGACCAAATTCTTCCATACATACATTTATTTGCAAGCAAGCAAAAACAGTCATATAATCTGCTCTATAAACTCAGTGAGTTCTGAGATTTAGACATTCCAGAAAGTGCCTTGAATGAAAAGTTCTCTGAGGAATTTTCAGCACTTTTTCAGGGACAGGATTTTGCTAATCTTCTAATCAGAGTTAGGGCAGAATCATCTGTATGTGGCTTTGCGTAAGACCAAGCAAAATTCTTAGCCTAGGGTATCACCCACTAGATTCTTCTTTCTGTTCATACAAGGGCTGAGCTGCCTGTCTGTTATTTCTAGCCCAGCCAAATGGATTTCTACCATCCCTTATGAAAAAAAAGAATCAACTCTCGAAGGCAGATTAAAATAGAATTATTTAAAACTCCTTTCTGTTAACTCCTGCTGGTGTGTGGATTCATAATTAGAGTTTTTAAAGTGCCACTTATTCACCCCTGAATTATATACTTTTTACCAATGTATTTGCCATCATTATAAATTAAAACTTTTACCCAGCATTCTATATACTGAAACATCATAATGGAAATTAAATATAATGGAAGACACCGTTACGAAGGACTCACGCTGGTCTCCCTCAAAGTCCTACAGCAGAACTGAGGCCTGGGAGCCTAGAGCTTCCTGCCTGTCTTCTTCTGCAGTCCCTTGCCCAGTCTGCCAGGTCTAGAACAGAGCCTAGGGAGTTTGAGTCGGAATCTTGGCCAAGGGCCATCTGTAAAACTATCAGAATTGGCTGCCTTTATGTCAACATCAGACTGCTAAAGTATGAGACCATTAAGATCCATCTGTGCTTGCTCTCAACAGAATTCTAAAGACATTCTCAGATTCAGGAATGGAATGTCTGCTGACTTGTACCCTTCTTCACTCTCCTCACTTCCAGGCCGAGAAAAAGTTTTCACAGTCCGAACATCAGACTTTCTTTCTTTTCTTTTTCTTTTTTCTTTCTTTTCCCCTTTCTCTTCTTCTTTTGAGTCAGATTCAGGAGAAACAGAGCTTTATGGGAACATGTCTCTTTCAGAGCCTCCAGGAGTTTGGCTGACGGCCATAATGTCCACGGAAAGCCAGAAAGAATAGCAGTGCATTTGGTTCTCTGCAAAACCTCTTTCCTTCAGATCCCTGCCCTTCCTCCAGGGGCTTTCCTGGCCAGGAGTTACACAAAGGACTGTGAAAAGAATATCAACCCACTGAGCTCAACCCTCACCCCTCTCCACCACTTTTAACTTAGAGCAAATCCCTCTGATCAGAGCAAGGCCTTCTAGGCCAGAGCCTGTGCGAGATGTCAAGAGGGTTGTACCTCATGAGACACGATGAACAAAGAAACAGTACATTTTATCCTTCTGGCCTGGTTGGCTTCCCCAGTGCAGCATTCTCAAGGAAAATATCTAAAACATTCAAAAGAAAAAGAGCACCCTGTATTTTCTTTAACAGTTTTCATCCACACCCTGCTTTCCTATACCCAGATGTCACAAGCTGTGGAGAGCGGTATCAACGGGCATCATTCAAGGACCCCCACCTCCCGGGCGTCCCTTCCCGATCCTGTGCCCAGTGACCCCACCTCCCGGGCGTCCCTTCCCGATCCTGTGCCCAGTGACCCCACCTCCCGGGCGTCCCTTTCCGATCCTGTGCCTGGTGCTTTAACCAGCAGTTGCTCCAGAGAATGAATTCTTGGTTCCTCAGACTGGACCTCCTCGGAGGCCCTCTCTTCCATTACTCTGCCTTTGGCTGAGGGCACCTCACACTTGATGGAAACGTTGGCCAGCAATGACTTTGAACCACTCACAGTGTTCTCCCTTGCAGACTTGTTCACACCTCTGAGGCCAGGGATGGAATAACTGATCTGTAAACAGAAAGGGAATGACCGCAAGATCATGGGGTCCAATTACAAGGATTCCACTGTGGAAACGGGGAATGAGAGACATTTAAATCCTGAATTTCATAAAGTCAGATGACGGGTAATGTCCCAAATTTGGGGCTTTGGGGTGTCTTCACCATTGCTTGTGTACTCTGTGTCTTGTTCCTATTGTTCTACGATGCCAACCACAAAAGAAACATTGCATGCCTCTGCAGCATTCATCCTCCTTTCTCATGTTTCCCCAGGCTCCTGGCTTATCCTGCAATAGTAGGTTAGAGCTGGGGGATTTCCCAGATCAAGAACATTTTCAGGCTTCTAAGCACTGGAATTTCAAGTGTCCAGAGTGGATGCCCCTAAGATAAATAACCCCACCCTCCCTTACCTTTTTTGTTATGGTCCTTAAAAGACAGTACAGATTACACAGCTTAAATGAGGCAAAACAAAAATGGTCACCCATTTTACATTTATAACATGGTAATTTATTATATATATAGATACATGTGCACATGTATCTATGTATCAATGTATCTATCCATCTACCTATCAAATCAGAATTTGGATTACAATTAGTTTGCATCGACTGAGAAGTTTGTATGACTAAGATCCTTTGTGTCCTCGGGGAACTGGAGGGTGTTTTTTTGTAAATGACTCTGTCTCTGTAGCTGGGACTTTAAGTTCTACTACAAAGAACATGACAAGATTATATATATGTCCTGTTTGAAGTGGGTGTAGGCATTGGAGGGACAAAGAAGATGGGGAAAGGTATGTCAACAGGAATCTGAACAGGAGGAAAGAGAAGCCTGTGTACTCAACACCAGTCATGGTATGTAAGAAGGTATAGAAACTGCAGCCAAAACAAAATGTCAAACGTGGGACCAGGTAAAGGATTCCTTCAAGGGACATTATTGTAATATTTGGTCTTCATTGAGCTTGAGTCTCCTTTTACTGACCGTCTAGCCTCCACTCCAGCAAGGAACACACAGCTACATGACTCTGGAGGGTATCAGAGGTGATAATCTCACCTTCACTAATGAATCCCTAACTCCCAATCAAGGGCTTAGCAGAAGTAACATCTGTCTGTGCCAAAAAACTTTGTTTAGACTCAATACAGATAATCCCACAAAGCCCCATGACATCCTTATGCATCAACTGTATAACTAGTATGATGGTGCATTGAGGTTAGGTTTGGAGGACCGAACTAAATAAGCTGAAGACCAATCAGATGGAGGTGATTTGTGATATTTCCGCCACACGGGTATAACTTAGAGATGTGTCTCACTCTCCATGAACCTTAGCTCCATAATCTGGCAATGAAACCAGATCTCTGTCCTGATCACATAAATCCCAAAGGACACTCACTTTTTTTTTAACCAAATCCTTAATAGGTCTTAAGAGCTATGTCACTAAGGGACTTCATGAAAATTATGGACTCAGAGTCACCTCAATAATGAACCATTACAAATAATCCAATTTATTCTCCTAAAGGTCCAGCCTTCTCTTGCGTAGGAGTGTAGAAGGAGACCTGAGTGAGAGGTTGGCTTGGCACTATGGTCTAGAAGGCACTGAGAGCCAGACAGACATTGCGGCTGAGGATATAGAAGGTTTGAGCAAGGGGATAAATTCTGTGGAGAGGAGAGCAAAGCTTCCAGACTCAGAGACAAATTCACATGCAGCCTCAAAGTAAAATTTAGAATATAGAAGAGTAACACTTCAAAATTATTTGTTTTATTGAGTGAGATCTGAGAGACTTTATATTTTATTTCAAAATAAAAACAGTCCACAGGGAGAGTTTTGGAACAAAGAATATAATGATTAAAAAAAGAAATCAGGGTACATGACCTCTAAGTATTACTGAAATTGGGGCTATCCTGGAAAATTAATGTATGGTTATAGACAAAGTATTTCTAGTTTCTCTGAAGAAAAGGAACACCTGGGGGATAAATACATCCATGACAATATGAATCCATTTTAATCCAAAATCCATTCTAATTTTATCTAAGAAACCGTAAACCCTTGTTAATAAAAAGAAATATAATTTATAAAATTGCAAAATTTTGTGCAAAGTAGCTAACTTTTCTTCCTATAAATTCATTTACTTCCTTAAAGTGTTTAACTGTTCAGCAATTACAGGATTTTTTTTTTCTTAAGTAGGCTCCCGGCCCAGCGTGGAGTGCAACACAGGCCTCAAACTCACAACCCTGAGATCAAGACCTGAGCTGCTATCAAGTCTGACACTTAACTGACTGAGCCACCCAAGTGCCTGACAGGGATTTTTTTTTTTAATCAAAGAGAAAAATATTTACATTTCACATACAAAGGAAAATTTTACATGATTTCTTGGTTGGTCTCTAAATCTCAACCACTCAGCATTGGTTTTCCAAAAATCGTGAGACTTTTCACCGGACAAATTCAGTTAGCTTTGTTCAGAAGCTCCACATTAAAGTAAACCCAACAGAAAATATAAGTGTGAATAACTGCTTAGTAAGCAGCTAACTTTTTTACATGGATAGTTCGATTATTCTCTACACTTATTTTATAAAAAGAAGCTTAATTTATCATTTGTGTTCTTAAACTCGCTTAGCAGGAGCTCTACGAACTGGAAAAAAAAAAATTATTCTTTTCCTTCCAGGGAGGAAAATTCAAATAATGATATATGAAGAGACAGAAATGCAAGTTATAGGGCTGTCACTTTAAGATCTTACAATTTAAATAGTTTTTTTAATATACATTTTTGTTATTTAGAAGTATGTTTGGTTCTATGCATCAGAAAGTTGAATCTACTGTTTAATTATTTTTCCTTCTAAAATAGGAAATTCAGAGGTAAATTGCTCAGAATTGGGATGAGGGGGACACCATGTAATAAAAGAGGGTCTGATATGTTTTCTCTGTTTTCCTTAGTATGTCGTTTTAATTTGTGTGGTGCAAACCAGCTGTTGCGCATCTAGACATCACACCTGTATCCCAAGATGGAGAAGAGGGAAAGGCAAGAAGATTATCTAACTCTTTCCCTTTATATCAAGCAATAATATAGATTTGACCACCAATGTCATATAATAGCTGCAAAGGAGTATGAGGAAATAATTTTAGTTGGCCGTGTTGTTTGAACAAAAGTCTTTTCAGTAAGGAAGAGGAGAAAATGAATAGGTCATAAGGAATATTTTCCATAACACTTCTTAATATTTTAATTGCTTAGAACTTTTGTTCAAGTTTAGCTTTTCCTGAAAGCTTAAGGGGCTGTTACCTGTATTGTTAACAAAAATCCCTTCATGTATCTGTTTCTTCATTACTGAGATACAAGAATAAAAGGTAAGGCCTGTTCCAAATCGTACACAGCCCTATAGGTGTTTGTGTGAATATTAGGCTGGGTGAAGACAAGACGGGAAAAACGCAAACATATTTCTATATAAATGATACATGAGAACTAGTTACTAAGTATTACTAGCATCACAGAGGGAGTGACTGGGGTGGAGATGAGGAGGGGGCACACAAGGAAGGAAAACTTTCTGAAAGAGCTGAGAAGTAAGATTTGTCATGTCTCTCGGGATTTGAGTTGATCTCCATAATGTCACCAGGAACTGACGGGATAAAAAGGAAGTGGTATTGAGTGACCACTCGAGTTAACTCTTTCTTAACAGAAAATCTCAGAAAATTGAATGTCCGCTACACGCAGTTGATTAAATCAGCTTTTTGGAATTAGTTTCAACATACTTAACTATTTTTTTTAAGATTTATTTACTTATTTATTTGGGGGGAAGGGGCGGAGGGAGAGGGAGTCAGCGAATCTCAAGCAGACTCTACGCTGAGCGAGGAGCCCAATGCAGGGCTCAACCTCACCACTCTGAGATCATGACCTGAGCCAACATCAAAAGTCAGATGCTTAACCGACTGAGCCACCCAGGCGCCCCATTGACCTATTTAACTTTAATATCAGATAAGGACAATATAAAATAAGTCACTTGATTAAATTTGAAGCTGTGGGTATTTTGTTGTTGTTGTTGTTGTTTAATTTTTGATCAATCAGATTTAAAAATCAGGCTATTAAGCCATTTGAACAAGTGTTAGTGATGTTGAGATATAGGAAGAACAAACAAAAATCATAAAAACTACAGGCCCACAGGGCATTACTTCTAGGGAAAAAAAATTAAACTAGAGGTTGTAAGGGGAAAATCTATTTCTTAATGAAAGGCTTTTCCATTTATATGTTAGGCAACCTATATTCCTTTCATGTCAGGCATCTGGAAAAGCAGAGACTGAGGCAAAAAATCACCAGATTCACTCCAATAAAACTTAACAGTTTTATAAGAAATAGACAGTTTGCAGATATTTTACAATAGCACTTTCTGAGGCTTATAAACCATAGACAGAGGCTTAGATCAAAGCCACAAGACATCTTGAGGTTTAGCTTGTGCTTGAGTTTATCCAGAAACTACGGAAACATGATATCATTTCACATCAGGGAATAAGCCGAAGTGGAAACAGCACAATTTCAGTGACAGGTTAAGCCTGTGGTCACGTCACGCAAGAAAAGAGGTGAAAAAATAAATTGTCTTGATTTAAAAACAAAACAAAACTGTATTTCTCCTTGTAAAAAATTACCATCAAATTGTGATCCACATGTTATCATCAAATCGTGATCTGTGTGATCAAAGAGAAATTATCAGAATAAGAAAACCCAGCTGTTGAATATATTATATGTAACAAGTTATTTAGAGACCTGTTTTTTTTTTTTCTTCCTCTTTCCTTCTCAAATCTCATCTTTTGATATGAGTGTCAAGTTTCACGTCAGGCCAGCAAGTATTGGTAATGATTAAATGTGTGAAGTCAGCTGGAAGGAAAGCAATGTACTCTCTATTTCATCCAGATAACCATAGAAAACCTAAAGGACTGTTTTGATAATAAGCACATTTTATCTTTCCCAACCAAAAAGGCAAAATCATTTCTCTTCTTCCAATGAATGACAATTGTATTATTTTGTACACTTTTTA